GGTAGGGAGAGGAAGAGGAAGACTAGGAAAGGAGAACACAATGGTAGCGTAGACTCCCATCGATCATTTCTCCTCACAAGTGAGGGTAATCAGAGAGGCGCCAGTAAGCCAGGCGACACCCTGAATCATCGCCTCCACCCTCCCAGCAGGTTCAAGGGAATTTCCTCTTCTAATTGTTCTCCCTTCAAGGAATACGCCTTAATGACGGTGAAGGGATCATAATTCAAGGAACTAGAGGCACCCTACAACGTTCTCTTATTATTCTCATGGCGCCTCAGCCCTTCACTGAATTTCTTCTACACTTGGTAGATAAGACACATAGGCAATATTTAGGCAACTTTATTTCGAAACGTTTCGCCTACACAGTAGGCTTCTTCTACACTTCTTCCATATACAGTATATTGCTATGGCGGTGCTCATATTTGGGACCAGACTTACAAGCGCCTTCCTTTCACATAGATATCTCTCTCTCCGCTCCAGCTACTACATATCTAGGACTCTGAGGCGTTCCTTAAATTGGCTTAATGAAGACCCTAAATGATCTTTGTGCTCCAGGTTAGGTAAAGTTCGTCAGGGAACAGGACAAGTGTTTCCTGACACGGGTCTTAGATGATGACCCGCCGTTGGAGCTTTTGGTCATCTGACCGAGGCCTTCCGCTGGCTTACCGGCCCACCCCTTTAAAAATTGTGCTCCAGCTCACTACGAAAGCAAAAGACTTGGCAGACGATGCGCCATCCCCCCAATGAAAAGCAGGGGTGTCACTAGCACGTTAAGAGACCATACAATAAGTGTCAGGGGCCCGAGACTGTTCAACTGCCTCCCAGCACACATAAGGGGGATTACCAACAGACCCCTGGCAGTCTTCAAGCTGGCACTGGACAAGCACCTAAAGTCAGTTCCTGATCAGCCGGGCTGTGGCTCGTACGTTGGTTTGCGTGCAGCCAGCAGCAACAGCCTGGTTGATCAGGCTCTGATCCACCAGGAGGCCTGGTCACAGACCGGGCCGCGGGGGCGTTGACCCCCGGAACTCTCTCCAGGTAAACTCCAGGTAAACTCTCCCGCCCTGAACGGAGCCGTTAACACCGAACAATACTCTGAGAGCATAAGCGATTTGGATAGTGTCACTATAGTCATTTTTTCCCCTGTTTTCAAAGTTCTCATTATCCACCCCATCATTTTCCTGGCAGTGGTCGTCAGTCCCTCAGGCTGAGGTCAAAGCTGGATCAGTGAAGTCTTGTAACAAGGTTCACAGTAAAATAAAAGTTCCAGACAACTGCCTCTGTACAGTGTCTGGAGCGTCACTTGTTAGTGTAGCACCAGTCTGAAAAGAGCTTTTGCTCTTTATAATTAACCCTACCTGAGGCAGAAAAGGGCTCTCTTATAGTTCTACCTTCCTGAGGTAGACAAGGGCTCTTGTTTTTTTAAGTTACCCCTATTTTAAGTTACTCTCTATTTACTCCTAAGTGTGAATTCCACAGTTTCTGAAACGTGCGGCTATATACAACTTACATACCGTATTAGTAACATGACTAAGTAACCAGCCTCCCTAAAAGTGGTGTTGTCTAATGTTGTTACTCTAAATATTACTCGTACAACATATATCAATATGTGTGTCTGGCATATGAAAAGAATATCATATGTGGTGGAAGGGGATCATTGTCTGGGGAGGTGGTAGCAGGAACGGTAAAACAACCACACACTGGTAACCAAAATTTGACCCGTTAGTTGGTAAGCTAATTAAAGGTTTATTAAATATGCAGGTCCTCTTCAAGGGGGGCTCCTTGGCGTGGTGAAGAGGCTCTTGGTCTGAGGAATTAGACCTATCGGTCTTCTTCCTCAGACCGAACCTAATTACCCCCCAATCTCCCCTCCCCTATCCCATCCTCCCCATCCTCCCCTTTTTCCTTTCCTCCTCCTCCCCACTCCTCCCTTTTGCCCTTCCTCTTTTTGTCCTTTGGGATTTCTCCCACAGGCGCGCTAGTTCCTAGGTAGGGGAAAGGACACCGGGGTCCATCCCATTCCGTTGAGGTTTCTTGGCGGTGGCGTAGTTTGCCGTGGAATCTGGATTGCCTAGGGATGTCCCGATCCCTCTCCGGTATCCCGGAGTAGCTTTGGGTGTCTTTTGGGCGACGGGTGTATCTCTGGAAGCCACCTTTCGGATTCCGGGGGTGGTGGCTGAAGGAGGTATGCTTTGTGGCGGATATCCGGCCGCCCTCTCTTTTGTCCACCGAGGTAGCTCGGCAGATGTGAGGTTGCTATCCCAGATTGCTGGTTTACTGGCATGAAGGGTAGGGTATGGCACGGGTTCCATGCTGCATCTGCGCTACTAGCGGTGTCGAGTCCTCTTGGGCGCGGAGGGAGATTTCTGGCCCTTTCATTCCTCCTAGGAACTATCCCTCCCCGGTCCCCCCTTTTTTTTTTTTTCTTTTTTTTATTTTTATTTTCTTTTCTTCTTTCTTTTTTTTCTTAAAAACAAAAAGAAAGAAGTAACCTAACCATGGCAGCCCTAGTCCATGAACCTGGTACCCCGGGCCCCTTCTTGATACCGCACCCCGTTCTGACCCCGCCTCGTCTTTGGACCACTCTTCAGACATTCCTCATGCCTCTGTACCTATTGCCGGTGCTGTTTCCTCACCCGCTTCAGGTACTGAGGCCTCGACTGACTCCTTCGATTTATCAGACCTTCGCTCTCCTCTGACTATGCTTCCGGCCTCTCCCTCTACGGTGCGGCAATTTTCAAATCGCCGACCCATTCCACGTCGGACCAACTCTGGTCCCACGCCTAAACGTCAACGACAATTACCTGCTGATGATACTTCTCCACCTTCACCTTCTCGTTCTTCTCAGAAACGATCGACACGTCCTTCACTACCTTTCCACGCTCAGTTTCAGACTGAACAGTGGACTAAATTCTTCACTTTACGACCAACTTCCTCTACTGCCTATCTTTCTGACCATAGTATTGGCAAGGCACTCCTACGCCATGTTGGTAAAGATATTTCTTTTCATGCTCTTAAGAGCGGTACGCGCATCATTACCGTACAGAATGCTACCCAGGCTCGTGAGCTCTCTCGTCTTTCCCATATAGATACTGTTCCTGTCACCCTTGAAAAACATCATTCCCTCAATTCTTGTAGTGGTACCGTTATTCTGCCCCATACCATAGTTCAACAAAATTTCCAGACATGTGGCACCGACATTCTAGAACAGCTGGAACTCCAAGATCTCCCAATCCTCAAGGTAGACACTTACGTTCTTCCTGCCCGTGGGCGGAGACGATACCCTAGCAATGTGGCTCGTTTAACTTTTGACAGCCGAGAACTCCCATCCTCAGTTTATATAGCAGGACATCGGTTACAAGTTCGAAAGGTGATCCCTACACCACAACAGTGTAGAAATTGCTGGCGATTTGGCCATCCAGCGAAATATTGCAGATCTATCGCCGAATGCCCAGTCTGTGGTGCCGATGACCATTCTAATACGTCTTGCAATCGATCTCCCTCTTGCCTTAACTGTCATGAGGCTCACCCTTCGTACTCTCGCCGTTGTCAGGTCTATTTAAACGAGCGGGAAATCCGTTACCTCAAAGAGACAGAAGGTCTCCCTTATGCCATGGCAGTTTCTCATCTCCGCCTCCAAGGGAGACTCCCACGTGTTTCTTATTCCCGTGTTTCAAAAACGTCCCCCCACTTCTGGTATCCCGTCTTCTACACCACCTCTGTGGTTACCTCTCCCATAATCACTCCTGTATCTAATCCTTTTGCTGTCCTCGGCTCAGACGTCCCTACCTCAACGCCTCAGTCTAATCTCGCTTCTTCGAGTTCTCTCTTACAGCTCAGTATCGACGAGACCTCGTACGACACCTCTTCCCAATCGTCCCTCTACTTCTCAAAAGTCAAAAAAAGGTCCGGTAACACCTCCTACCCATCTTCCCCCTCCTCATTTTACCCTCCCTGTCTCTGTCCTAGTTCTTCCCCTCTCACTGGCTCAGTTACAAGTGCAGAGGTTCACCCTCCTCCTCGTAATGTTACCTTCCTCCCCTGTTCCCTCCCAAGTTTCTTCCTCTTCTGCCACCTCCCAGGTTCCTGTCTCTTCTGTCCCTGCCACGCTTCTCCAGTTTCCCTCCACCCTTTCGCCCCCCCCTACCTTGGTACAGTCCAATACAGTTCCAATCTTTACTCATCCTCCCCCTACCATTCCCAATATTGTCTCCCATACGACATCTCTGAATTCCAAAACACTTGAAGCAATCTCTGAATATATTGCAGAGACCAAACCATCAATGGACACTGATCCACCTTCCGCTCTTTCTCTCTCCTCTGCTCCATCTGCGCAACTCCTTTCTTCACAGCGCACCGTTCCTTCGCTGCTTGAACATTTTCCACTGCCTCCGCATGTGGACTTTTCTAACCCTTCTAGTCCGTAGGAACCCTTACCTGCGGATTTCAAGTATCTCTATCATTGCCAATCATGGCCTTTTTACAGTGGAATATACGCGGCCTCAGGGGTAATCGGGGTGAGCTTCAGATGTTACTCTCCCAGTTTGCCCCTGTTGGTGTTTGCTTACAAGAACCAAAATTACACTCTGCTGTTATTTCTCACATCTCAGGCTATAATTTATTGTATTCTTCAGATCCTTTTCCTGATGGGACCTTTAATGAAAGTGCCCCTTCTTCTCCGCACTGATATTCCGTACCATCAGCTATTTGTTCATACTTCGCTGCATTACACAGCAGCCCGTATCCACTTAATAGGTGGTATACGCTCTGTTCTTTATATCTCGGGCATTATCTATTCCGGATTTTCCCTTCTTGTTTCGTCATTACCGCCACCGATTCTGTTACTTGGTGATTTTAATGCCCACCATTTCCTCTGGGGAGGGTCTCACTGTGATTCCCGAGGAATTCAGTTAGAGGCTTTTCTTGCCACCCACCCCCTCCATGTTTTAAATACAGGTACTCACACCCATTTTGATCCTCGGACTCATACTCTCTCTTGCATCGATCTCTCAGTTTGCTCTTCCTCCACCGCATTAGACTTTACTTGGTCTGTTCTCCCGGACTTACATGACAGTGATCATTTTCCCAATCATTCTTACTTCCCCTTCATATTCGCCACCTCTTCGCACCCCACGCTGGCAATTTAATCGGGCAAATTGGAACCTTTACTCACACCTGACTGTTTTTAAAGAGGTTCCTTCTTCGTCCTCCATCGATGAGCTTTTACACCTCTTCTCGTCCTCCGTTTTCACCGCAGCTTCTCATTCTATACCCCAAACTTCGGGCAGGCATTCTCAGAAATGCGTGCCTTGGTGGTCTCCTGCTTGTGCTCGTGCAGTACGTTTGAAACGCGCTGCATGGGGCAGGTACCGGTACAATAGAACCACAGAGCGACTCCTTGATTTTAAACAGAAGCGTGCGATCGCTCGCCGTGTCATCCGTGACGCTAAACGCACTTGCTGGCGAGATTATGTCTCCACCATCACCTCTGCTTCCTCTATGAGTGCAGTCTGGAAAAAAGTACGAAAACTGAGTGGTAAATATTCTCCTGACCCGGCTCCTGTTCTGCGGGTTGCCGGTGTTGATATAGCAAACCCACTAGATGTTGCCAATGAAATTGGCAATCATCTGGTCCGTATTTCTCAGGGACTCCATCTATGCCCCTCATTTCTTTCCTCAAAGTCTGCCAGAGAGTTAGCACCCTTGGACTTTTCTTCTCTCAGAGAAGAACAGTATAATGTGCCTTTTACACTTCAAGAACTGGAGGCAACACTCTCAGCTTGTCGATCATCGGCAGCTGGGCCCGACGACATTCATATTCGTATGCTACAACATTTACATCAGTCAGCCCTTGCAGTCCTATTACGCCTTTACAATCTTATTTGGTCACAAGGAGTTCTTCCACAGCTGTGGAAATCCGCCATTGTTCTCCCTTTCCGCAAACCAGGCACTACGGGACATGAAACCTCCCACTATCGTCCCATTGCTCTTACCAGTGCAGTTTGCAAAGTAATGGAACGTCTAGTAAATAGACGTTTAGTGTGGTATTTAGAGACACACAACAGTCTCTCCACTCGTCAATATGGCTTTCGTAAGGGACGTTCTACCATAGACCCCTTACTGCGCTTGGATACGTATGTTCGTAATGCCTTTGCAAATAACCACTCAGTTATTGCCATATTTTTTGACCTTGAGAAGGCATATGACACAACTTGGAGGTATAATATTTTAGCCCAAGCCCACTCCTTAGGCCTTCGAGGCAATCTACCATCCTTCCTTAAGAACTTTTTAACTGACAGGCATTTCCGTGTTCGGGTTAATAATGTGCTCTCCCCGGACTTTATCCAAGCTGAAGGTGTCCCCCAGGGATGTGTTCTGAGCACAACACTTTTTCTCCTTGCTATTAATGATTTGGCCTCTAGTCTTCCATCAAATATTTGGTCATCACTCTATGTTGATGACTTCGCTATTGCCTGTGCAGGCGCTGACTGTCACCTCCTTACAGTTTCTCTCCAGCATGCAGTCGACCGTGTTTCCAATTGGGCCACCACACATGGGTTTAAATTTTCCAGCACTAAAACCCACCAAATCACTTTCACTAGACGCTCTGTCATCTCCGATCATCCTTTGTACCTCTATGGCTCACGTATCCCTGAACGTGATACAGTCAAGTTTCTGGGCCTCCTCTTTGATCGTAGGTTTATCCTGGAAACCTCACATTACCTCTCTGAAGGCAACTTGTCACAGCCGGCTGAACCTTCTTAAAACCCTTGCTCATCTTTCGTGGGGAGCTGATCGTCGAACCCTCCTTCACCTACATTCCACCCTTATTTTATCGAAACTTGATTATGGTGACCAGATCTATTCAGCGGCATCTCCTGCTACTCTCTCTAGCCTTAACCCATTCATCACCAAGGATTTACGTTTATGCCTTGGTGCTTTTCGCTCTTCCCCTGTCGAAAGCCTCTATGCAGAAGCGAACGTTCCATCCTTATCCGATCGCCGTGATGCCCATTGCCTGCGCTACTATCTACGCTCTCATGATCTCCGCAATCCTTCCATTTATAGAATGGTCACTGATATTAGTAGACATTCTTTATTTGTTCGCCGCCCCTGCTTACTCCGTCCCTTCTCTCTTCGCCTTCATTCGCTCTTGTCTTCTCTTCAACTACCACCTTTCTATGTACATGTAGCATCTCACTTTTCCCTACCCCCCTGGGAAGTTCCAGCTGTTCGAGTCTGTTCTTTCTCCCTCCCTTGCTCGAAAGCCCAACTGTCTACGGTCGCTTCCCGCTCTCTTTTTCTTGACCACTTTCTCTCTCATTCTCATGCCATTGCTGTGTACACAGATGGCTCTAAGTCTTCTGACGGCGTAGGATTCGCAGCAGTGTTTCCGGACAGCATCGTACAAGGGCATTTACTATCTTCAGCTAGTATTTTTACTGCTGAATTATATGCCATCCTTACAGCGCTTATCCGTATTGCATCTATGCCTGTGTCATCATTTGTGGTTGTCTCAGACTCCTTAGTGCTTTACAGGCTATACAAAAATTTGATACACCTCACCCCTTAGTCCTCCGTATCCAACTTTGGCTACGCCGCATCTTTACTAAGCATAAAGATATTGTTTTTTGTTGGGTCCCTGGTCATGTTGACGTACAGGGCAATGAACAGGCAGACACTGCTGCGCGGTCAGCAGTACATGACCTACCAGTTTCTTATAGAGGTATTCATGTACGGACTATTTTTGCTGTAATATCTTCCCACCTTCACACCCGTTGGCAACAACGTTGGTCTACTATGCTCGGCAACAAACTTCAGTCTATTAAACCGAGTATAGGTTACTGGCCGTCTTCTTATCACCAGTGTCGAGGTTGGGAGACTACTCTCTCCCGTCTTCGCATTGGCCATACTCGTCTTACTCATGGATATCTCATGGAGAGAGGCGTCTTGCTCCTCTCTGTGAGAATTGCCAAGCTCCATTATCAGTCAGCCACATTCTGTTGGACTGCCCACTTTATCAACGAGCACGCAGAATTTACCTCTGTCGTCGTCTTCGCCCCGCTGCTCTCTCTTTACCTTCCCTTCTCGCTGATGGACCCACCTTTCATCGGACTCTCTCATTGACTTTTTGACAACGACTGACTTACTTCACAAATTCTGATACTTTCAGCCTTTCTACTTGAATCTCTTGCTACCCTCTACCCCGTACTATCCCCTGCCCGCTGTTTTCTGTAACCTGCTGATCATCCCCCCTCCCTTCTGCCATCCAATTCCCTTGCTTCCTTCCCTACCCTGCAGCGCTGTATAGCCCTTGTGGCTTAGCGCTTCTTTTTGATTATAATAATAATAATAAATATGCAGGTCACCTGTTCGTCTCCAGTCAAGAATACTTTAGTAAGACAAATAAGGATTAAAGTAAATTCTTGGTTTATATACATGGTACATACTGCATATATTAGCGACCCCTTGTTGTTTAAATGGGTAAGACAGTTTAGCTCCGGTAAAACAGCGGTCCTTAGCACCTGTACTCACCTATTTGTGGCTCCAGGGGTCGAGACTCAGCGCCTGGACCTCTGTGCATGTGTGTGTGTGTGTGTGTGTGTGTGTGTTGTGGGTGTTCGTGTGGCTGTGTGGGTGTGCGCGCGTGCGTGTATGTGCTCGCGTGTAGTCACCTAATTGTGGTTGCAGGGGTCGAGACTCGGCTCCTGGTCCCGCCTCTTCACTGAACGCTTCTAGGTCCTCTCTCTCCCTGCTCCATGAGCTCTTATCATACCTCGTCTTAAAGCTTTGTTTCGTTCCTGCCTCCACTACCTCACTTGCTAGGCTATTCCACTTCCTGACTACTCTGACTGAAGAAATATTTCTTAACATCCCTTTTACTTATCTGAGTCTTCAACTTCCAAATGTGACCCCTTGTTTCTGTGTCCCCTCTCTGGAACATCCTGTCTCTGTCCACCTTGTCTATTCCATGCAGTATTTTGTATGTCGTTATCATGTCTCCCCTAACCATCCTGTCCTCCAGTGTCGTCAGGCCGATTCCCCTAACCTTTCTTCGTAGGACATTCCCCTTAGCTCTGGAACTAACCTTGTCACAAACATTCTTACTTTCTCTAATTTCTTGACGTGCTTCATCAAGTGAGGATTCCAAACAGGTGCTGCATACTCCAGAGTATAGGCCTGACGTACACGGTGTACAGTGTCTTCAACGATTCCTTACTAAGGTATCGGAACACTGTTCTCAGGTTTGCCAGGCGCCCATATGCTGCAGCAGTTATCTGGTTGATGTGTGCTTTCGGAGACGTGCTCGGTGTTATACTCACCCCAAGATCTTTCTGCTTGAGCGAGGTTTGCAGTCTTTGGCGGTCTTCTGTGCCCTTCCCCGATCTTCATGACTTTGCAATTGGCGGGGTTAAATTCGAGAAGCCAGTTGCTGGACCAGGTGTCCATCCTGTCCAGGTCTCTTTGAAGTCCTGCCCGATCCTTATTTGATTTAATTCTCCTCATTAACTTCACATCATCTGCGAACAGACACACTTCTGAGTCTATCCCTTCCATCATGTCATTCACATATACCAAAAATAGCACTGGTCCTAGGACTGACCCCTATGGGACCCCGCTCGTCACAGGTGCCCACTGTGATACCTCGTCACGTACCATGACTCGTTGTTGCTTCCCTGCCAGGTATTCTCTGTTCCATTACAGTGCCCTTCCTGTTATACGTGCCTGATCCTCTAGCTTCTGCACTAATCTCTCGTGAGGAAACTGTGTCGAAGGCCTTCACCTATTGTGTGTGTGTGTGTGTGTGTGTGTGTGTGTGTGCGCACTCACCTATTTGTGGTTGCATGGGTCGATTTATAGCTCCTGGCCCCGCCTCTTCACTGATTGCTACTAGACCCTCTCTCTCCCTGCTCCACGAGCTATCATTCAGCTCCCCCCTCTGGTTATTTTACATATAAGATCACAGTAAACAGATGATATCACAATAATATGCAGAACAACCACTCTGAAAAAAAAAATTTAACTTCCAAGCGCATTCGTGATTTCTCACATCATCAAGGAACACAGTTCTTATATATATATAAATCTCAGTAGATTCTTCCCTTAAAACCCTTCAGGAAGGGAGAGGTTACCTTGCTGCTGGTGAAGGGCTCCTGATCTTCTTAATTACCTCCCGTTTTCCAAACGTATACATGACCCCTGCCAGTTTAGTTCTCAATAATAATTGAAGTTAAAACATTTGTAATTATTTAAACCTAAATATATATCTATGTATTCTATTTACGGAGTATGCTGTAATCTGAATCTTGCCTCCGATGTCTTGAACTTCTCGTTCCCACCACTTCGGTGTGAGAGCGCCTCCATATTACTTGTGGGTCTTTCCCTTTATCACAAAAATTCACCTTCTGGCCGTTTTGTCTTTAAACATAAAAGAAATATGTATGTGAAAATATAAAAGTGGATTAATTTTCTTATTGTGTTGCAGATGTTGGCTGTGAGGTGTGTAGTAGACGACTGACGTGGGAGAGAAAAATCTGCTATTTACTACATACACCAAGACAATTAAGAACTCAATACTCACTCTTCATCACCTCGAATCTCACTATTTAAACGCAAGAGTTAAGTTAAATGTGGTCGAGTAGAGGGTGCGTGTTGTTAAAACTGAAAACTCTAGAGTGTGTCGGGTAACTGGTCTTGTGTGTAACACCCTGAGCTGTGAGTGGGGCAAGAAGACGCTTGGTGTTGTGATCTACCTGCTGAAGCTTCACTCTCTTGTACACATCATGGAGAGAGCAGCTGTAACCTGATACCTTTGAGGTGCCACATTATTCTTAAACACAATGAGGTGAAGCTCTTTATTACGGCTACCCATACAATTGACGTTCTTACTTTTTTTTTTCTCCGGTTGAAAGATTCTTGTGAGTGGTTGGAGGGTGGTGGTGAGTGCCTGACTCACAGCTTCTTGTGACACTGTGCCAGACAAGGAGACGCTTGAGCTGACTCACTCGCCCTCACCACACACTCACACCTCACCTCACCCTCTAGTCTAGGGAAACCCAGACAGCGTGGAGAGAGTCCCTAGCTTCCAACAGTGTCGCTACTGTGTGAATTGCACACTGTAACTGGTCCTCGTTGACGCTTCGTAGCTGTTATGAAAAGGTTTACATATGGTGATCAGTTTTAGTCGAATATATAGTGTGGTATGAGGAGAGTGCACAGGCTGGAAGTGGCAGGACCAAGAGCTACGAACTACCCTTCCCACCTCGTTCCGAAACTTTAAAGACGTGAAAGACTGCTCCTTCTAACGCCGTAACCTCCAGCCATCTAGCACCACCACGCTGTACCACCCACTATCAATAACCACTAAGTGATTTGGGCTAAGAGGACCACCGCCACCCCCACACACCGCAAACACCACCACACCCTAGTAAGGATACACGACAGAAGCTGTTAGCCGACACAGCAACCACTCCAGGGAGAGATAACTGAGTGTATCCGCAAAGAGCCAACCGTCAATGCTTTAGTGTGTAGCTGTCTCATAGTGGTCATTGTGGTTAGTGGTGGAGGACGTGTTAGTGGAGTCTGGAGCCTCTTGTTGCTCTACGCTTGCGTATTCCCTAACATTTCAGAAACAAACATTGGTGGAGACTTAGATATTCTGTATACACACGACTGATGTTACATTTGTCTTAATAATGTCACAAATGAAATATAGAACTTTATCCTTAAAAACTGACAAAGGTAATGAAAGAGAATATATCAATTAATATATTAGATAAGTATATATTTTGTATAGGATTAAGATGAATTTTTTGGTGTGGAAGTACTGAGTGTGTAGCGAGCTGAGGAGCCAGACAAGTACATATTCGCTCCTACATTATACTAGTCTGCTTATTTAGATGGTAACGTAAGATATACATTATATGTGCACAAGATTATAAACTATATAATATGCTTTTAGTAAGAGGTCTTTGCGCTAGATATTTATGTTTCAAGCACGCATCATCTTGGTAATTGCAACTTGTATTAACACACGAGATCCAGAAGGTAAAATTAATCAAGAGAGGACACCGTATATATGAAAATAGTTGGAGGGACCGGGAAGCACAAGATCTCGCCTCGACGTTTTCTACAGCAAGGTACAGTCACGTAGCTACAGGAGCTGAGAAGAACCAGCCTCCTTTCATCTCCCCTCACCTGCAAGTCCTCACCTACAGGGATACAAGGATAGAGCGAGGGTACTTAGGGGTCACTTCAGTGCCTGTGTAAACCATCACCCAATATTGGTGGTGATCGTCACGATGAAATTGTCTGGGATCCTCTGTGTGGTCGTCGTCTTGGTCGTGGTTGGTGTACTCACCAGCGGGGCTCAGGTAAGTGATACGAGAAATGTAATTCTTTACACAGTATTTATCATGCAAGTATTAGTTCAGATTCCTCCTATTAGAGGCCCGGGTTAGTCTAGAGACTGTGGAACATCGGACTGCCAATTTGCTGACCGCGGTTCGAGCCCCTCGTCCACCCTTCTGTTTATTCATTGATAGTTGTTTATTGCAGTTTAATTTGCGTTCATATAAGAGTATGTATTTAGCTATTATACGCCTGCTTAATTATCTTTGTCCCAGAGTTCCTTCCTCGCTCAACTGTTACTCCTTTCTCGTTGCCAACACACAAGGGCTAAAACCAAAATTCCTTATTTAAGACTTCTTCACGTATGTAATGTTTGCAGCGTTCACCGAAATCCACAGGGTGTGTTTATTAAATAAATGTCAAAATAAAGAAAAACAATAACTTAAACATTCAGATCACAAATATCAGCAGAAACTAAACCTTTCAGATAACTGACTAAAATCAACATTAACTAAATCAGACACAGAGACATTCAGGAACCTGGGAAAAACTCCCATGATATTTTCACCTTCCAAATTATGAATAAATATACTTCCAATATTCGCCTCCTACTAATAGAAATTCGCGAAAACCAGAAAAGCTTATGACTCCACGTTCAGTAATGTGATCAACTAAAGTAGAAAACCTACCAATGTTAAAAATATTCATAGACTGTACTCGACGAATTATGTGCCTGTTAGCACAGTTCTTATAAGCTTCGAAAAAAAAAATTGACAACGTTCCCAGGTCCTCAGTGTCTGGGTCCCGATTCCTGTAATGCTATATAAAGAACCCTAAAATAGCACTAGTCCGGACACTGTGTGTAGGGGTACTAGTCCGGACACTGTAGGGGCACTAGTCCGGACACTGTGTGTAGGGGCACTAGTCCGGACACTGTGTAGGGGCACTAGTCCGGACACTGTGTGTAGGGGCACTAGTCCGGACACTGTGTGTAGGGGCACTAGTCCGGACACTGTGTAGGGGCACTAGTCCGGACACTGTGTGTAGGGGCACTAGTCCGGACACTGTGTAGGGGCACTAGTCCGGACACTGTGTGTAGGGGCACTAGTCCGGACACTGTGTGTAGGGGTGAGAACTTAGATTCAGGTGAGATCCCAGCAAGGAGTAAGAAGACTTTGGGCTATGAACCTCTGGGGTTAATAGCCCATTGTGGCTTATTTCCAATGGAGTCCTTTGGTCCCCACCCCCAGTATGTGACATACACAGTCTACTAATACGAACAACTTTATTTCTTTCTGCAGTATACACAATGTAGTTTACATATATTGAAATATTGTAAATCACAGAAGAAACCATTAACATGCTGTGCGGTGCATAATATTCGTTAGGTATTTACTGTCTGGTGAACAGAGGCGGCTGATTAAAGAAAACACGCCCATCGTCTCTACTAACCCAGGGATCGAACCCGGGACCATCGGTTGTGAGCCGAAGGTGCTGCCACGAGTCACCTTACAACCTTGGACATCCTCTTACTTCACAAAGGCGGCAACAGATCGATGAGCAAAAGATAGACTTGAAAAAGGATTCTTAAACGTCAACTTATTAGTATTATTTAAGACTAACTCCATAGCCCATGGCTTTACACTAGGCACTGTAATATAAAAATAAAAAAAATAAATTTCTTTTACATCTTAAAATTTGAAAAATAAAAAAAATATTAGTTGAGAAGTAATCTCTACTCCTGTGGCTAGAGGCAGGAGTACAGCCATTCAACCAGGTTGAGGGCGAGTATGCGAGTACAAATAAAAAGTGCGTCTTTCTGGCGCTCAGCAGACGGAGGATCACGTGCTGAATGACCCACATGAGTTTAGCGCTTAACATGAATTATTATTTAGAGCAGGGAAGATTAACTTTCACACAGTTTTATAGGGATTATAGACTTGAAAGTGCACGGTCACTGTTCATAGGCCACGCCTCAGCGGTTGAAAACTCTCGAAACCGTTCAGAGGTATGTTAAGTTACCATTACCACCAGCACCATCCACCATGTACAGCTCTACAACACTATACAGTACGGTTGATGATTGAGACATATTCAACGGTAGGTTTCTTCAGTCAAATACAGAAGCAACAGATTTAGTAGTAAAATGTAGATGTTATAATTAGTCCATTAACCTTGGAGAAATAGTATTTGAAGTGGTCAGTCAGTCAGTCAGTCAGTCATTCAGTCATTTAGGCTTTAACGTTGCTTCAGCCACTTGAGTTTCCAGACGTCTTTTTTTTATTTATTTCCATATTTGTGGTTAAATATACATTCTTAAAAGTTTGTGATATCTTAATTTGCAAAATAACCACATTGAAAAATAGTGAAATCCCAAAACTTAAAGGTTTACGTAACCTAATCTGGTTTTAACCTAATCTGATGTATCAAACGTAGTTTAACTTAATGAGAATATTGTTTGTAGAGTTACAGGAAACGTTAAGAAATTAACACTGGAAAACTCTTAATAAAATTAACGCAGTAAAATGAGTTTGTATCATGACTGCTGCTTCTCATTCTCCCTCACCCTCATCAGCTTCTTTTCCTTTCTGCCCTTTCTCTTCTTCCTCCTGTTCTTTCCCTCCTCACATCTTCCCATCTCCCCTTTTTGCCCCTCTCAGCTCTTCCTCCCAGGGGGAAAAAAAGCTAGCTTTCATTCCTGATATGCAAGTTTTAGTGAAAAGGGTAGCAGCACATTGCTGATGTATCTAATTTAAAAAAAAAAATCCCGTTCTGGTCTACATAATCCCTCCCAGCTTCTATGCCTTCTCCGTCTCTCCCTCGCATCTCTCCCTCTCTCCCTCTGTGCCAAACACAATAGTAGCCAGATTCCTTTCTCTCACATTCCCAGGCCATACCAACACGCATTCTTTGAAAGCACGTGGGATAGGTCCGCACCTACCCGTAATAGTTATGCCCCACACCCATGTCTTGTAATGCATACATAGGGCAATGTGAGACTGTAGAACCATTCTTATTATCTCGGACACCACCAGACGTGTGTATACACTGTACTAAGGTATGGAAGAAGAACAGTAAATATACATTATGTAAAATGTGTAAGGGGTGGGTACATAATGAATGTGTGTACGATTATGGTAATGATACCAGATTTCACTTTGTTTGTAACAAATTCACTTTGGCACAGTTACCCTTTAGCAGTGATGACATTGATTTACATAATTTTAATACAAATGACCCCTTGCCATATAATGATGATTATGATTGTTTTATGAAAAAAGACCTTCACTTTATTTATGTCAACGCAAGATCACTTTTTCCAAAATGGCAGAGAATAGGATACTAGCTAACAGAACTAGGGCGGCAGTTATATCCATCATCCTGGTTGGATGATACGGTGACTGACGAAGTGGTCAAGATAGAAGGTCACAATATAAAACGCTTAGACAGGAATAGAAAAGGTGGTGGGGTATGTGCCTATATAAGAAATGACTTAGCTTACAACCCAAGACCTGATTTAGATGACAATAAACTGGAAATTCTATGGTTTGAAGTGTTGCTTCCCGAGACAAAACCCATCTTAGTAGAAACTAGTTACTGCCCTCCCATCCATCACCAGTTATTAGAAGAATTTTCGAGTCTTGTCCGGACTTGATAAAAATTGCGAGACATTAATACTAGGAGACTTCAATATCCGTTTTAACAGCAAAATAACGGGCTATGTAAAAGGTATAAGCAAATTCTAGGTCTAAATAGTTAAACTCAACTAATTTATACACCAACCCGGATAACAGTTCTCGGCCACCCTATTTGACCACATACTTTGTAACCGCGCTGAGAACATTAGTCAGTCAGGCGTCATTACCACAGGTCTTAGTGAGCATTTCATCATTTACTGCACCAGGAAAATCATTAGGGATAGGATAGGCCTACGCAGGACAGTAAAAATGAGGTCAACTAGAAGCTACAGTAAAGAAACGCTGGTAAATAGGCTACACAATTGTGACTGGACAGAGTTAAGTTGCGCGGACGTAAACGATGCCTGGGAAAAATTCAAAACAATGTTCACTCCATCCTTGATAATGTTGTACCAGTTAAAGAGGTTAGGATTAAATGAGGAACTGAACCCTGGATGACTACTGAGATATTAGATAATATGAAATTCAGAGACCAGTTGCTAAAAAGCTTTAATGCAAACAGACAGGATATTGCAGCGCTAAATGAATTCTCAAGAGTGAGGAACAGAGTGCAGAGACTTATAAAAGGAGCAAATGCAAGGCACTATTGCTCAGAAATCGAAGAGTGCAAGACTAACCCCAGAAAGCTCTGGCAGTAAACCCGTAGATAGATCTAACTTAATACTGAATATCGATAATGAAGTATGCCACGAAACAAAATGTCAAATTGTTTTAATTCCTACTACACATCTGTCGCATCGACACTAGTAAGTAAACTATCAGCTGCATCAGATACCTTTAACACAGACTCTGATAAATTTCAAACATACTATACCAATAAAGGGGTAACCCCAAACAGTTGTCAGCTAGTAAGTGTATCTCATGACTTCGTGCAAAAAGAGCTAAGCAGGTTAAACCCAACTAAATGCACCGGCCCAGATAACATCCCGTCTAAGTTCCTGTAAGATGGTGCTTCGGAATTGTCAATCCCCATTTCTCATAATAAATTTGTCTATCATCACAAATACCATACCAGAGGGGTTCGAGGAGGCCAGAGTTACTCCTATCTTCAAGAAAAACAGTAGGTCTTATGTCAGCAACTATAGGCCTGTTAGTATACTCAGTGTGATATCCGAAATTCTAGAGAGGGCGGTGTACTGTCAAGTAGTTAAGTATCAAATTGACAACAACATTCTTCATAGTTAGCAATCAGGCTTTATGAGATCTTACTCAACCGACACCTCCCTAATTAATCTGATGGATTACATGATAACTGAAATGTCGATAGGGAACCTCTTGGAATGGGTAACCTTAGACTTTGCAAAAGGCCTTCGATACTGTCAGCC